GATCTTAAGAAAGAAACATCTTTACCCAAGGGGTAAAGGAAAGAAATTCAGTGAAGATACAACTGTGGAAATGCACATGTATAGCAAGAATATGAACAGAAATAAAAATGAAAGGAACCAATACACATCTTTCATTAATAACTTTAAATATCAATGGACTGAACTCCCTAGTCAAAAGACACAGACTAGACGAATGGATTAAAAAACAAAACCCATCTTTGATAGTGTCTTTTAAGACACTATCTTAAAGTGAAAGGATGGAAAAACTATACCAAGCAAATAGTACTAAGAAAAAAGCAGGCATTGCAATTCTAATGTGCTGGATAGCTTTAGTGTCAACTTGAAACACCTGGGTTGAGGACGCCTCAATTGGGGAATTGCCTCCATTGGACTGGCCTGTGGCCATGTCTGTGGGGCATTTTCTTGATTGTTGAGGGAGGTGGGGGGGGCAGCCTACTGTGGGTGGTGCCACCCATGGGCAGGTGGTCCCATATTGTATAAGCAGATTGAGCATGGGCCAGAGGAGCAAGCCAGAAAGCAGTGTTCCTCCATGGCCTGCCCAGACTTCCTGGTTGGCTTCTGTTGATGATGGACTGTGCTGTAAGCCAAATGAACACTTTCGTCCTGAAGTTGGCTTTGGTCAGTGTTGTCACAGCCATAGGAAGTAAGCAGGATGGTGAGATTTCTGTGTTCTATGCAGTGAAATCAGTATCCCTTAAATAGGAACTACACTTCCAGCTTTGCATTTAGGTCTGCTCACAAGCTGGGGAGGTGCTGTGGTGCTGTCACAAGATGCTGACCACTTTTGGACAGCCCTGTGGTCAGGAGGGTAGACAGCCCATACACTGCAGTGTGCAGAGCCCTCAGTGTGAGTGAGAACTTGGTCCCATCACCTTCTGCAGAGGCCCAGTTCCAGTGGTTAAAGGGCAAGCACTCACATGTACACTGTGTAATTCTCCCCGAGTCTTTCCACCAATCTAGCACCCCAGATGGAGGGCTGAGAGCACAGTCCTCCCAAATTAAGATGCCTAGTGGGTTAAGAAGATTCAATGTAGTTTCAACTCACAGTGTCTTCAACCTATGAGTTTATCAGAACAAATCCCACCAAGAGGTGCTATCTGCACACACCGAGCTCTGTTTTGTCTACTGTACACTACTTTTTCCATTTGTAGAGCATATGTCAGTGGGTGTGTAAGCAGATCAGTTAATCCATCTATAGGTAGCTACCATAATGTCAGTTCAGCCTTGTTTTCCATAAAATGAAAACAGTACCACCCACCTTTAAAAACACATAAAAGAATCAAATAGTAATACAAAGAACCGCTTCTTAGCCCCCAAGGTGGAAGGTGTCAGAGACGGTGGGGTGAGTGGGAAATCGGCCCGTGAAGTCTGTGGATCACCTTGGCAAGGGAAGAATGACGGAGGATCACCTCAAAGGGAGAAAGGGAGAGAGAAGTAGAAGAGAAAGAGGAGAGAGAAAAGGAAAGGGAGGGGGGGAAAGGAAAAGGGAGGGAAGAGAGAAGGAAGAG